TACTCAATAAAAATTTCAGATAAAAAAATTTAATTATTATTTATATAAATTATTAAGTTTATATTTGAAATTTATGTCTAAAAAATTAAAAAACTAAATTAAATTTCAGATAAAAAAATTTAATTATTATTTATATAAATTATTAAATTTTTATTTGAAATTTATGTCTAAAAAATTAAAAAACTAAATTAAATTTATTAAAAATAAATAAAGTGAGTATTACTTTTTTATATTTAAACTCAAAATTTATCAAAAATAATATTAAGTTTTTAAGACAAATAAATATTTTAATTATACTTTAATTCTATTATTATCCATTAATTTTCATTATCCACTTTATCACCAAGACTTTCTCTTTATTTTTCTCAGTGGTAATTAAGTAAAAACATAAATTATCTACAAATTTTTAATCAATAAAAGAGTAGAAAAAAACAATTTATTTTACACCGAAAGGAGTCCAAGCAAAAGAATTTTTTACATTCAAAATTTTCGCAAATGAATTGCAGACAGACATCAGAATCATACGAAAATGCAGCAGCAATGTAATGACAATTGCAAATGCATAAAAATTGACTCAACCAACCACCGATTGGTGGAATGCATTTCAGACAGAGAGTTTGACAAATTACTGCCACATCCATTTAGTGGCCTTAAACATTCTGGAACTTTACAAGGCTCTCTATCCCATGACAAATGATGAGCAGATTTAAGAAAATCCCAAAAATGCAGTACCCACATCGGCAACACATACAAGGTTCCCTGACACCCTATAGGGCTTACTGGAAGACTAGAAAGAAAAGACATTTACGAGAAGAATAAAAAAAGAGTGACCAAGGTGACAACTTATACCCAACAGAGGATCCTTCCGATCATGAAACCATAACACGTCCAATCATACCCTGGGTCCAACTGGCAGTCTCCTTGAGCTGTTCATCATCAGATTGGAGACATTCACCAAGAAAATCAGCAAAAAATGAACAGTCTTTAAACAAAAGTTTCATATTGGGACCAAGCGCATCTGCAAGATCACCCATCACAGCAATTGCAGCTTTTGTGACACTTTCATCCCTGCAATACATACAGGAATAGGAGAATTTAGATGAATGATAGGCACCAAAAGACAAAATGTAAGGGGAGAAGAAAAGGAGAATGGAAAATACCTGTGTCTGTCTCTGGAAACTAGTTCAATAAACTTCAAGAGATGTTGGGCATATGGAACCATCACATCAGGCTTCACGTTCTTGAAACCTTGAAGAAGCCCAGAATAAGCCTCGAAAATACTACGCCTGAGCTGGTTTCCATATTCCATTGTCTCTTCATCAGCAGGGTTCATCTGGGCAGAGATTTCAGCAGCTCCCTGCATCATAGGTAATGCATAGAGGACATACTTCTCAAAGTGTTCACTAATTGCAAGAGCAATGTCCCCAAAGCAAGAGAATATCGGGGGCTTTACCGACCGGTGGAGTTCAGAACTAGCAAGATCTTTAAGAAGAAGTCCCATGATCCCATCACAGTATGGTAAGATCTTATCATCCAAAGCACGGCAAATATCACCAACAACTCCAACTGTGATGGAACAAACCTGGTATTCCTCAAAATTCTGCAATCCCATCTCAAGGTATTTGTAGAACTCGGGCATATATTTCTCAAACTGAGGTCCAGTGGCATAAGCCAGTGCACCAATTGCAAGCATTGCCTCCTCATGCACAGTAGAGCTGCGACAAGCAAACACCTTAAGGAACAGAACCATAATCTGATCCACAGCCTGAAGTATTATGGGTTTGGTTTCATCTTCACTGCTAAGTTTTTGAATAATAACCTGGAGAACGCCACACAGAGAAGCTTGCAAGTCAGCTTGTTTTTCTCTATCATCAGATGATACAATCTGAAGCTCCACAGTCTGACTCAACTTATTCATAATGACTGGTAGCAACTGCACTATAATATGAGACACTTCTTTAACATTGGAACACCTCACAACTTCATTCAAAGTTTCATAAGCAGAAGATCTAAGTTTAGAGTCACCACCATCTGTACGATCTGCAGTTGCCATAAGAGAACTGATTATTTCTGTAAGATATGGCAAGAGGAGAGAGGAGCTAGCGCCAGCATCTTCATATCCCTGGGCAAGGTAATATATTGCTCCACAAATTTTCTCTGCTACATTTGGAGCATCCTTAATGCTCTCCAGCAACACACCCAGAACACGTTTGAGATTCTCAGGAGTAATCACAGAAAATCCACTAGCTGGACTATGCAGTAACTCAAAAATACGACTAAGAGTCCAAGCAGTTGTATCCTTAACATGATTGTTTTCATCCTTCATTGCGTTAAGCAGAAATTCCAAACCTGAATGTACCAATGGAGAGAGTTTCTCAATGGTTGGACCTTCAAGGATGGAGCCAAATGCAAATGTGGCTGCCTCTCGACAATGCCAATCAGGTTTCGCAATGTTAGATTCCACAAATGGCATAACAAGAGGCAGAATAGCATCCCCAACAGTTCTTGCAACAAGACCTAGACATGTCCCACCAGCCATGGATATGTTCCAGATGGTATCATCCTGGTCCTGATCCTCTTCCTGCTTCAGCAAAGTTTCCAACAACAAAGGAACTAGATGAGGCAGGGCCTTCTCAATGAAGCCAGAATGGGGAGGTCCGGAGTCACCACTCTCAGGAGACTCAAATTCTTGAAGTTCTATCTCTTCATCACAAATAGAGCTCCAGAATTCAATTGCTTGGAGTGCAACAGCCTCTTCATCTCCTTTAACTGCATTTGATGAAAGCTCAAATAGGGTCTGCATATAAGGCTCAAGCATGTCATAATATGTTGATGCTATTGCAACAAGACACTCGAAAGCAGCCTGCCTAATCTCTGCCTCTTTGCACATGGCTGTCTCACATACTACCTTCATGATAAAATTACGCTCCATTTCATTCTCAAAGTTGGTCTGTGCAAACTCCAGAGCATTATACAAAGCCTTTGTTGCTGTAAGACGAACATCAGAACTGTGTTCAGCCAGATTCATGCCTTGCACAACAGCAGTGAGAACAGCATTCACTTCTTCTTGCACAAGATCCTCATGAGATATTTCCTCACAAACGTATCCAAGAGTTTCCAAGGTTGCCTGCTTCAGAGCAGCAGGGCTGTCTTGGTGGGTCATATTGTTAAGCAATGATCCAATAAGTTCTGGCCACTGCTTCCTGGGAATCTCAATTGAAGCAATTTTGGCAATAACTTGAGAAGAAGTGTGTCTTGCCTCAGGCACAGATGAACCAAGAGTCCTCAATAGCAAGTCTTTTATTTGAGATTTGATAGAGATGTCAATTCCCATCCATTGTTGAACAAGCTGTTCCTTCCTAACAGCATCCTTTGCATCTAATGAGTTCTTAAGCACAAGACCAGCCAACCTACGAGATTCAATTGGCTTCTCATTGTTTGCAAGCTCAACTGACAATGAAAGAAGGAAAACAGGAAGATTCTGCTCTTGGAACAGCCTCAGGCTAGCCTCTGCTTCTGTGCGAACTTTAGTATCCAACGATTGAGCAGCCAACAAAAACTGGGTGATCTCCAGAGCCATTTCTCCACACTAAAGCCAAAAAGACACAAGAGATTAATTAGAAATAACAACTATAACATACCATAATTAGTAGGGAAAGGAGAGTTCATCCTTTTAAGAGAAAATGAGCTGCAGGAGAAATACTGTTGCTACAAATACATGTTCAAAGTCACCTAAAATGTACATTAATATATAATCAGCTCCACAACATTAAATGCCATAACCCATACTGAGTAGATGATACAGCTTTGAAGGATGAACCTTCATCAATCAAATCCTCCACCAAGGCAGTACTCCACAATCCACATTCATCAATCAATCAATAAATCTTAGTCCCTCCACCAAGATAGTACTCCACAATCCACATCCGTCAATCAATCAATCAATCAATCAATAAATCTTAGTCATCAACCCCATTTCACAGCCTCAAAATTTGTAATAAATTTGCTATACACAAATTTCTTTCCATCCCCATGATTAGCAAAATAACAACATATTTTCGTCATTACCTCTTTCATTATTTCTTTACGTTATATTTCTGCTCCAAATATCCAGCTTCAAAAAACGTTTCCTTTCTCTACTACAACCAGTAAGACTAGCGAACAAGAACATAAAGCTTAAACAGCAACAAAGAGCTAGAAACCACAAAAAAGACCATTAATCAGGCAAGCTTAAACCCTGGAAAACTACTTTCAACAAACAAACATCAATAAATGGAGAAAAACGATAAAGAGTGCTAGATATGCGATCGAGAGACAGCCAGACAAGATCCAAATCGCTAAAGATTCCTCCGATACATCAACGAGCATCAGCTGAAAACCCTAGCATACTAAGACCACTAACAAACCTAGATCTATAACTAGAACGAAAATCCGAAACCACAGATGCTTATTAAGCAAAACGAAGTACCTGAAATCAAAATCCGACGAACTGAGCAGATAAAAAATCAGGAACCGACTGAACAGAAAACCTAGGGCTTTCCGATTCCTTTTCTCCCTCTGAAGCAGAAACCCGGACTCTACCTTCCGGCGATACTTGCTTGGGCGAAAGACAAAGGGTAAGAAAAAGGGGAGAAATGAATTTGGATTGGAGGAGGGGGCGTGAGCTATGGAGATGAGGGCATTTTTATAGCTATTTCGAATGCGGGGAAAGAAGCGGGAGGGAGTGAGGGAGAAGAGATTCACGGGTAGGGGTTTTGTAGCTGCCCCACACTGCCCGGAATCACCGACTCCGAAAACCCTAGATTTTGAAATGTCCCACGTATATGAAGCAATAGCACGTGTCGATTATTAGCATTGATTGACTTAACTGTGAAGTTTGTTAAATGACCTTGGGTTGGGCCAATGGGCTTTCATTCCTCTCAATTTTCTGGACTTCACCATATTCACAAAAGGCTGCAAAAAAGTTGAGTATAGGAGAT